AGGTATGCTCTACCACGGAGCTACACACCCAGGCTTTTTAAATTTTAAGAAAGGGTCATGCTAAGTTGTGCAGGCTGGCCTCAAACTAGAGATTGCGGGAGCCACTCTGAATGATTCAAGCCTTCCATCCTGGAGTGGAGAGGCTTTGACCGTCACTACATCTTGTAGTGACATGGACATTGACCCGGTCCAGGAAGTTTGAGGGCACATCTTCAGAGATAGGTGTGTCATCCCATAGCCCCTTGGGTCGAATTATACTCACCTGGCCTTTATAATCCTGCCCCTTCTGACTTTTTTTGGATGGAACTTTCTAAGAATAAGGGTCCCCCACCAATAAAAGCCCACTTCCAACTGTGCTCATGACTTTCTCTTGCTCTCCCATTTGGGAAGCCTGAAGCCAAGAGTGAAGAAGCTATCCTGAAGCCTGTTTAAAGGTAAAGCGAGTGTCTGTGTTTCATTTGGTGCCCCTGGAAATTCACACAAGCGACCTTAAGTTCAGCACAGACTGGGGACAGCAAGACAGCCTCCTGTCTCAACTTCCAAAGTTCTCTCAGCCACTGTGCCTGGCTGTGACTTTCTCTTGTACCAGGGATTGAACCCAGGGATACTTAACCACTGAAACCTGACCCCTGATATCCCTCTTTCTATTTTACTTAGAGACAGGGTCTTGCTGAGTTGCTTAGGTCCTCGCTAAGTTGCTGAGGTTGGCTTTGAACTTGCAATCCTCTTGCCTCAGCCTCCTGAGCTGTTGGGATCCCAGGAGTGTGCTATCACACCAGGTCCGTGGCTTTATTTTCTATACCACTGTTGACAATTTGAAATGTATACAAAATTCTCCAGGTATACATTTTGTATAGAGCAGATTGGTGACTCTGCTTATCTTCTCAAAGGGGTTGGCTCTGTGGTACCAAAAGGCTAACAGCCATATATTTTATGAGGTGGCTTATCTGATCTTTTCAAGTTACTGCCCAGCCACAATCCCTCCCTGTCTTAGCCCCCCCTGCATACCCAAGCACAGATGGAGCTTGTAATGTACTCAGGTTTCCTGCCTTAGCTRCCTGACCACTTTCTGTGTCCCAGGTCTGGGACTAGAGCAGCAGGAAGTCTGTGGGCACTTGGTTGCATTGGAACCCATAGCTGGCCTGGCTTTGTGGTCACGAGAAGACGGAGTGAAGAAATACAGTCTGGAGGGTGAGCTTGATGGAGGGTCCAAGCAGGTACAGAAGAGCAGCACACCTTCTGGGCCACCTCCCCCAGTCCTGGTCTGCCACTCTCCGAGGGTCCATTGGTACTTTTCCCAAGGGCTTTCTTGCTTCTGCTCAGGTTAGCTTTGGAGCTCACACCTGCAAGTCAGGAGCCAACACCAGCACACACCTCCACATCCCCGGTGCACTGAACACATGCAGGCTGCTCAACTCTGCTCACTGTGGGGCCAACACAGTTGGAAGGGGGTTACTGACCACAGCTACTAGTGCTGCTAGGCACAAGGAAACCATTGAGGGCTGAGCTCCTCACTTTTTACAAAGGCCAGCCTCTTCCTCCTGCCAGACCTTGGCTTTGCTAGGCTCTAGTTTTCCCTGCACACAGGCCAACTCCTCTGAAAACAAGCAACCCCCAGGTGCAGGTTGCTCTCCCTGGTCCCTTGATAAAGAGTTATGAGCCAACACTGGTTCTATGGTGTCAGATGGGCCCAGGTTGCTGTGGGCATCTACTTTCCTCCAAGTCTACCACAACCCAGCCCTGCAACTCCCTCAACACCTCAGGGCAGGAGGAAACACACGAGGCCACAGCATAGAGCTTGTTGGTGTAGTCTAATTTTTCTCTGTGGAGGTGAAAGATGGACCCTTGAGGTGTGCACAGCTGGCAAAGCCAGGCAGTTTGCAACATCTGGGTAATTCTGGACTTACTTTTACCATTTTCTAGCTCTTAATTTGTTAAAATTTTTGATGTCTTTGAGCCTGAGTTTTCTATTTATAAAATGGAACTTAGGTCACCCACTTGAATGACCATGGGCAGAAGAGTGAATAGGCAAGAAGCACAACCTTGTCTGTAACACAGAGACACCAAACATGCTTTGCACCATTCAGTGGTTAATGACACTGCAGMACACAACACAACCAGCTTGAGGTGTGTGGCTTCAAGCACATGGGGCCCACTGCCAGGTCTTCAAGGGTGGGGCCAGTGGGCCTGTCAACTCTTGTTGGCTCTCTAAGAATGAGCTCACCTGGCTGAGAAAGCTCAGAGAGCAGGGGTAGCTGTGGGGGTTCTGGACACAACTGTGGCTGAGAGTTCATCTCCTTTCAATTACAAAACACGTTTACTTTTTAAGAACTAGAAGAAAAACTTAAAATAAAAATTAACTGTAATCTTACTAGCCAGAGATAACCAAGATTCCTTTTCATATTTCCTTCTAATCTTTTTTAAAAAAGACTACATGATCTTATACAAAATTGGCATTATACTGAACCTGGGCTATGAGCCTTCATTTTTCAATTCGGTTTGGACATTTCTCTCTGCTTTGAGGGACTGTAACTCCAGAGTTGTCCTGAGTCCTGTAAGGCCCTATCAAGAGCCTACTGGGGAGGACAGAGGAACCACTACATGAAGAGGAGGATGCAAAGGCTGAGAGATGGTAGGAGGGTGGAAAGGCCTCATGCTTTATTTATGGAGCTACTTATTTATCCAGGTATTTAGTCCCAGTCTTCGTATCTCTGGGTACCGGATCCAGGGGCAACTTTGGGACAACTATTGAGAAGTTGGCTAAGGGAAGATTACCCATGCCTACACTTACATGCTCTTGTGGTTCCTACTTGGATTCTAACCCGTGGTCACCAAATTTCCTCCACAGGGCATATGGAGCTGCACCGTCCTCCAGGACCTGTCTGGRGAAAACTCAGATCTCTTGTAGCCCTTCCTGTTTGGGTAAGGGATTTGGAACTAAATAAGGGCTGCGGGTGGGAATGAACACAAGGATAAACAGTGCCATAACCTCCATCAGTTTCCAGGTAATGACCTATTCTGTCCCCTAGTAGTCTAGCCAGGGTTCTGAGACTGGAAGGTCTTCCCCACATATCCAGCCTTGGGAATTAGCCAACATTCTCCCTCCAAAGGGAGAGTACTTTTTGGCAGAATAAGGAGAAGACTTCCAGCACTAAGGAGAAAATAAGTGAATGGGGGCTCCAAAGCCTTCTGAGGCATCTGAAGGCTGAGTCAAGGGCAGTGAGCCTATAGGAGCGTCCATGCTGCACTCTGCTGACAGAGGCCACAGGGCCTGTAGGGGTGCCTTCAAGGTCACGGGGACAGAGGCATCATCTTCTTTCTCTGGGCCAGGCAGTCAGCTCCAAGACRCTCTTCAGTCCCTCCCTGATCATGCTGACAGGGGCTTCCTTCCATTCCTGAGTCAGAGCTTGTTTCTGTACTTTTTTCATGCTAGTGCCCACTGCTATGTCCTGATGTCCTGCACCAATTACAGCTGCTTCACACAGGAAGAACCAAAGCTTGAGTTCCAGTCAACTCCCTGTCCCTCCCCAGGGAAAATATGTCAACAGGTAGTGTGCTGCTGTGGATGGGAGGCTGTTTACAGGTTGAATCAGATCTGACTTCCAACTCAAAGGCCCTCCCCAGAACACCCTATAGGTCCTGGAAGAATGTACACTGGAACTTCACCCACAGATCTCTCAATCAAAAAGCAAAAACACCAACCAGGCAGATTACCAGGCAGGATGGACTTTCCTAGCAGAACAAGGCTCAGAATATTCCAGAGGATCTCAGATGCCCTCCCCCACCTGGGTAAGATTACTCCCTATGAGTTAAGGGTAACAAGGCAGAAATGGAAAGAAGTTAAAGAAAGTCAGGAATGTGATGTCATTTCCTGGGGGTCAGGAGAGTTCAAAATCTAGAAGAAGTGGCTGAAAAACACTGCTCCTCTCTGGATCTGGGGAGCAGGGAAGGCCCACACAGAGGAGGTGCCATGGGGGCAAAGTGTTTCTACCAAGAGTGAAGGTGCATGGTTTCTAATCTTCTCTTTATTTCCACACACATTTTTTTTTCTTTTGGCACTTGGGATTGAACCCAGGGATACTCTGCCACTGAACTACTCTCCAAGCCCCCCCCCCCTTTTTAAAAAAAAATGATTTATTCTTTTGAGAGCGTCTTCTCTTGCTAATTTGGTTAGGGCCTTGCTAAATTCCTGAGGCCAGTCCTGAAGTTTCAATCCTCGGACCTCAGCCCTCGGGGTTGCTGGGATTACAGACATGCACCAACATGCCAGGCATATTCCGAATGTCTTTACAGAGGGCACACCATCAGTAAACGCACGACCCGGACCTCCAGATCGAGCTAGATTCMTGTCCAGGCTTTTCTTCTTTACTGACGGTGAAGGGACGGTGTGCGATGGGTGTGCTCTCGGCACAGGCTGAGAAGCCCTGAGTTTTGGCTTGCAGGAAGTCAAGCAGGTTTGGTGGCACCAAGCCTGTCACAGTTCCTCTAAAAGCTCCCTCTGGATCACTGTGGCCTCAGGCCACCATGTGCCAGTCCCGGGCCCTGACCCTCTCGCGGCGCGATGTCACAGCCAGGATGTGAACAGGAGGCGGGAGTGACCTCTGCAAGCTCGAGGTCTGCGGTATTCGCAACCGGCTCCGACAACTCCAGAGGGCCCAACGCCGCCCCGCTGCCCAGGCGGTGGGGCCAGCCCGGACCGTGCGTCCTGCCCGCTGCCCGCTCGCCCTTCTCCTTCCCACCAGCGCACGCCCTCGAATTCGCGCCACGCCGCGATCTTTCCCCGACGCGCGGGCTGTGCACCCGGCCGTCGGGGCGCGGTCCCTCCGCGAGCCACGAGCGGAAGAACCGGAAGCCGCGTCCACCGCGTCCCAGGGAAACTAAGGGCTCTGGGTCCGGCGAGTTCGGACCGCGCGGCCCCGGGCTGCGAGAGGACGGCGGCGGCCAGGCCCTCCGCGGCAGGCCCCCTTCCCGCGGCGCCCTGCTCCCGCACCCGCCCCTACCGGGCTCCAGCAGATGAGCGCGTCGGTGTCCGGGTCGCTCACGAGGGTCCAGAGCTTGGTCAGGAAGGCCGGAACGTTGCTGGGCCCCGCCGCGCCGGGGCCCACAGGAAGATCCATCTTAGGCTCGGCGGCGGAGGCGAAAGTGGCGGCCAAGAAGAGGGGCCTAGCCTGGGTTAGCGCCGTCGCCGCGCCTGMCCCCCGGGCCGCGTCGCCGCCCGCTGCGCACACACTGCCCTGGAAGCTCGCATGGCAGCCGCCATCTTGTGACGGGCGCGCTCCCGCAGGCGCCCCGCCCGCGCGCACTCGCGTGCGCAGGCGCCACAAGTCGCGCCGGCGCCGGCCCGCCCCCCGGGCTATAGGCCTCGCGGCGCGCCTGCGCGGGGTGGCCCCGTCCCCGATGCTCACCAATCAGAGTCGGAGGGGCGGGGCTGGCCGCGGCTCACGAGGCGCGCTCGCTGCCGGAAGCGGCGGTCCGTCGGSAGCCCGGAGCCGCTCGGCATGGCTGGGGAGAGGGGTTCCAGGCGCGAGCAGCTGAGGGTGCAGCCCGGAAAGCGTCGTCCGGAGCCCGAGCCAGAGCGCGAACTGGAGCCGGAGCCCGAAAAGGTGACTGCCGAGTGGCCGGGCGCATGTCACGAGGGCCCGGGATGCACGTGGCAGACGGCGCGGCTGGGGAGGCCGGGCCGCCTGTCACCCCCGGCGCGGCACCATTTGTCCTGCGGATCGCCTGGAGGCTCGCGGAACTTGTTCCGCCGGGGCCTCTGTGTGAGTCTCAGTGGATCTCAGCCTGAGCCAAGGGGCGCGGGAGCCCGGGGCAGCTCTGGATCGAGGAGCCGTGTCAGGCTGGAGACTGGCAGGGGAGCAGCCTCCGAACCCTTGAACTGAGTCCCATCTTTGGGAGGGCTTGAGCTTGCACCTTCACTATCACTCGCCTTTTGTACATTACCTAGTTGTGGTACTGTCCACTSTGTGAGATATATTGCGAAGTTAAAAGTGGACGTGAGAATATGGAAGTCAGCAGTGAGTCCAGTGCCCCATTGTAACGGTTAGGGTTGTGGAGTGCATCAAGTTTGGTAGAAAGCGAGCACAGCCGAGCCTCTCTGCCCACTTTGCTTTGCTGGATCCTTTAAACTGTTCCTTTTTTCTGAGAAATGTTCTGAAGCTGCTCCCCATGATCAGCTGAGCTAGCAGTCTGGATTCCAGGTCCTGAAGAGGCAGTGAGCCCTAACCCTTTGCCCGTTTTCATTTGYTGTTGTAATCGTGTAGCAACTGAATATTGATGATACCTCATGATTGTGTGTGTGTGAGGTCTCTTCTATGAAAAAACTCAGTTGTGTGCTGTAGCACAGTTGGTAATGTGATAAGATGAGGCTTGTAATCTTTTAGAAAAATAGTGAATTCAAGAATTCTGCCCTCAAATGCTTCCTGAGAGTCTTCAAATTCTTGTTCTACTTTTTCAGAAGCCAGTGCACAGTGTGTTGTGTGTCATGTTAGTTGGGCATGAAATGGTCTCCAGTCAGCAGGGCTTTGCTGTGAATAGCCATGGTTCTGCTCCAATAGCAAACAGGTTTAGCTTGCTTATAATTAAGTTTGCCTCATTTCCATTATTCTTCTACTAACTTTCCAATTTATCCATTAACTGTTGGTCCTAGTGTTGTAGGGACAGACAAGGCCAGGCACCGAAGACTGCAGGAAACAGTTTTATCTGGCTGCAGCCAGGTTCAGAGGGCACAGCTTTTGCTGTAATCAATTAATCCCCTGAACCTCCAGTTCAGGGAATTTCAGAGTTTTATACCCAGCGTGTAAGGGGAGGGCCTCAGAAGTTCACAGTCTGCAGAAGTTCACATAAAAGCAGCGTTTTCTTTCACTGTTTTGGGATATATTGAGAAGTTAAAAGGACAACACCTGAGAAGGGGAGAGCTTCTCCCCTTCTTTCCTCCCCCTGCCAGCTGTTACCATGGAGCCCAGTTGGTAACTTATCTTAAAAATGTAGACATCTCTGTGAAGCCCAGCTCAAGGCCAGAGGCCTTGTTTGCACATTTCTACAAACTCCTATACAGGATACATGTTTGTGAAAAACTAGTAAGGGGGTGTCCAGCACCTGGAGTGCTGGTATCTTCCCAGCCAGTGGCCAGGTAAAACAGGGCGACATGAAAATAGGAAGTTTATCTACATTGGACTCTTTTGCAGACTCCTTTGCTGACAGTCCTAAARYCAGCCATGGTGAAGAGGGCTTTTCTGTGGAGMAAAGAGGGTGCCACTTCACTAGTATTTTTGGATGAGGTGACTTCTCCTCAGGGATTCTGATCCTCTTTGGCCCCCAGCTCCTTCCCTAGGTCATGCCCTCCCAGCTGTGGAGCCTTAAGTGCCAGGTGGGGTACAGTGTGTCTGTCAGTAGAGGGAAGGTGGTTTGGGTAATGCAGTGGAAACTGAGCTCTAAAATGGGGGTGTTGTCCTTCAAAAATTCCTCCCTTGTGAGATACTGAGATTAAAATGTAGGTGGCTGTGCTGTGTGTAGAGACAGAAGATGGGGCCCAGGTTGGATGGGTGGTTTGGTGGAGGTGGAGGCTGTTGTGCAGAGTGCTAGGTCAGTTGCCCCATGGGGTCTGCATAGTCTCTGCCTTGGTGAGCCTGTGGGGTTAGCAGTCACTAATTTTGTGCTTCCTTGTAGCCGTCCCTTCTGTGCAACCCTGCTCCCAACCACAGTGATGGCAGCGATTCCGGCCTTTCTGACAGTGAGGAGAGTGTATTCTCAGGTCTGGAAGATTCTGGCACTGACAGTAGTGAGGACATGGAGGAGGAAGATAGAAGCAGCTGTTGCGAAGGCGAGGGCAGCAAGGAGGAGACCTCTGAGGAGCAGGCACAGGTGGGTGAGCAAGGAACCCCTCGTGGGCTCCCCAGTGTGGGCGAAGGTGGCCAAGAAGAGGAAGCACTCGCTGGGCCATTGACCCCCTGAGGGTGTATCATGCTCCCTTCTGCAGGGTTCCCTGAGGAATCCAAGCCTTATCTCTCCTTCACTGCATCTGGGCCACATTTGGGCTCCAGGGCATTGGGGCCCAGGGTACTCCAGCGCTCAAGGGCACCCGGGTGTGTGTGCCATTCCTGAGAACTCTGAAAACCATATGCCTGGGTCTTCTCCCCTCAGATGATTTTTGGGCCATTCTCTATGGGACCCTGCCTCTCAGCCTTGCTATAGGCTAGGCCTTCTCTTAGAGCCCCAGACGGGGATTCTGTTGCATGGAGCATTGGCAGGACATGGTTGCAAGGGAAAATTCTGAGTGGCATGGGCAAGGTGGCTGAAGTCCAACCCAGCCACCCTACATGGCCTAGGAGCTACAGAGACCCATGGGTTTCACTGGTGTTGGGTAATGTTGCACCCACTCTTGTCTTTAACTAAAATGCCAGAGTTATTTAAAATGCCAGAGTTATTTAAAGTTTCCTGGAAACTAAGGTGATCATTTATACATGAATGGCTGTGGTATTCTGAAGTCATGACTTTGGCTAATAAAGTTGGCTGCCCTAAAGAAAGCCAGAAAGCCATGGTTTGTTTGTGTTGTGTCAGGTTGGTTTATTTACTAGGAAAAAAAGTTTTAAAGCCAGATATAAACCTTATTTARGCTATAATTATAACTTTGATATGCACAGAGAGGATGTGTTCACTATGCTGAACTTGATTTMTAAGGTTATGGGCCACTCTTTCAGTTTTTTAAATTTTTGATATGAGAGATTGAGCCCAGGGGCACTTTACCACTGTGCTTTCAGGGTCTTGCTGAGTTGCTGAGGCTGGCCTTGAACTTGTGTTTCTCCTGCCTCAGTTTCCTTAGTTACTGGGGCTATATCCGCAGTCCCCACCCAGCCATTTTTTTATTTTATTTTATTTTTTCTTTTTCTTCCCCTTTTTGGTACCAGAGTTTGGACCCAGGGACATTTTGCCACTGAGCTACATCCCCAACCCTTTTTATTTTTTATTTTGAGGTAGGGTCTCACTGCTTAGGGCCTCACTAAACTGCTGAGGCTGTCTTTGAACTTGACTTTGAACAGTTGTACCTTTTCTTTCTTTTTTTTTGTACTTGTAGGTGAATAGAATGCCTTTATTTTATTTGTTTATTTTTATGTGGCACTGAGCATTGAACCTAGTGCCTCACATGTGCAAGGCAAGCGCTTTGCCACTAAGCTTGCCACAGCTCTTGCCACAGCCACAGCCCACAGGTGTACCTTTTTTAGTTGTAAAAATAGACCTTTCTTGAAAAAGATTTGGATATCAGATCAGTACTATTCAGTGAAGTTTGAACACCCCTTCAGTGCCCTTGTTCTGTATTGATAATTGGTTAATAGTTCACATATATCTTCCTGGGCTTTTTTTCCCATTTTAAAATTAAGAACATTTATGTTTAAATATTTAAAGTCTACCTTTTGTTAAAGTCCTTGCAATGACCTGTACAAGTATCTTGAAGGTACAGGAGGGTGTCTGGTGGAGTCTTACTGGAAGATTCTGCTTTTATGAGGCCTTGGTGCGTCCCTGGGCATCTCTGATTCTTGGAGCTTTGGATCTGACCTGGAAGCAGTACTCACCCCACGGGGCTCTCTGCTTAGATTCCTCTGCCTGGAGGTAACTGGGCATCTGCTCCATCCTGTGGCAGTCCTCACCTGTCTCCAAGGATGGCTCTGTCCTTCTGCCTCCAGAGGGCTATCTCAGCTGCGGGCTGCTTTGCTGGACTTGAGTTGCCATGCTCAGACCAGGTGGGGATTGAAGGAAGGGGCAGTCCTCAGATCTGCCCTACCTGGCTATGCCTAGCCATGGGACCTGCCCAGCTGAGTGCTCTTATTTCCAGTGTGTTTTTTCTGTCTTCTTATATACTTCTATCTTCTATATGTTTTCTTATATGGGGACTATAATCAGGCTCTATTAGAATATTTTCAGTGCTGAAATGTGATCCTTGTCCCTAGATTTGAATTTTTTCAGGCCATGGGAGTGAATTGAAGAGGTGGGGGGATGCTTCCATGCCTCAGTGGAAATCCCTCCCATTTCCCCCTTTTTCTTCCACTCCACAAAAGCTATGTATGCCTTCACCTGGCCAACCTGTTCCCGCTCCCTGTCCCCTGTCCTTCTGGATGTTGTGAGTCCCTTTCTCTTGCCAGCTGTGTAGGTGGAGACCCTGCTAGTACTGCCTCTTGAGTGTTCTCAGCTTCCCATGAGCTTGGCTTTCTCTCTGTCTGTCTCTCTCTCTCTCTCTCTCTCTCTGTTTAATATTTAGTTTTTAGTTGTAGTTGGACATAATACTTTTATTTATTTGCTTTTTTTATGTGGTGCTGAG